GGTGCGCTTTAACAAAAACAGGTGGCGTCATGAGGAATGAACATTTTGAGAACGTTGAAGATGATGTTTTAAAACGTTTAAGCTGAACTACGTCTGTCATAATGACATATTTGCTGGACAATAAATCGTCCTAAAAATTATCGCGATAAACGATAATATTGTTTTGAGACCATCTTCATGATAATGGCACAATAATAACGCAGGAAAACATTCTCAAAGATCAATAAATTTTAAATTCTAACGAACATTTTTAACACTGTAACTGGAAAGCTTTTTAAATATCCAAAATAAACGAGCAGAAACAACTATTTCTAATCCTGGTTTCTTCAGTGTTGTTTTTATCGTTTGAAATCTGAAACATTTTCGTCTTGTAAGAAGTAAATTCCCATTTTTCCCAGTGAAGCGTTGCTCAGGAAAAGATCCGAGAGTCACACCTTCCTGTTAGCATCTGACGCTAATGTGTCCAGGCAGCAGAAGGAGGCGACCCAATGGGAGCTGCTGATCTTTTAAGCCTCTTCCAGGTTTCAAATCTGTCCTCTAATTGAAACATAGCAGCGAGAAGAGAGTCTCAAATGAATTCCTGCTGCCTGTGGACGAAGCAGCGCTCGCTGTTTTATGGTCAGGATGCAAGAACTGAAGGTTTTATCATCAGTTCAACAGGGCAGAGCTGCAGACAGAACATATAAAACTGGTTTAAAAATGTTGCTAAAGGGAAATCATAGGAGCTCCTCAGAGAGACAGGCCCATATTTTCATTCATATATACATTGTGTAATAAAAAGGCAGAATATACCTGGAAAGTACATGTAACCTCTCTTTAAAAAACAGAAATTTGTTTTTAAAAAATAATAATAAACTAGTCCCTGTTATTTTAGGAATTGCAGCAGCCTGGAAACAGCTAAAGTCCAAGAATAAATGAAAAACCCTCTAAAAATGCAAATATTTTATTAGTTCCAGCAGCAGATTTACCTTAATATGCATTAATGCACAATGGAATAGTCAAAGCACTGGGAGCAGAAACTGCAGTCTGTTGGAGTTTCAGCCAATCAGCAGCAGAAAAAACAAACGGCGGCTCAGAACCGAACTTTACTGAACTGAACGGCGACTCAGTAAAATCGCATCCCAAAACAACTCAAACCAGGCAGAACTGATGAGACTAAAATCTGATCATCTGAAAATGATTTTGAGCAAAAAATGTAAGTAAAATAGGTCACCTTTAAATTGAAGGCACCCAACAGGAGTTGAACTGGATTCAAGTCCAAGTAAAGCGAAGCTGTAAAAGATGGCGGCTCATTTTTAACCATTGAAACCCAAGGAGTGAATTGGTGAAGAATGGAAAACAAAAAAACAACTAATCAATATGATGGTCTGATCGCGCAGCATCCTGAACTCAGTTTGATGTTTTCTGCCTTAAAACCATCAGATTGGCTGATCTGGAAGCAGAACCAGAACCAGAGCCTCTAATTAACCCGCGCGTCCTGTCTGAGTCAGACGTCGTGTTTGGACAGATTAACATGAAGCCTCGCTTCCTGTCATTTTTCTCCCTAATTGGATCCATAATGCAGCAGCGAGCTTTGGCCTTGAAGTGTTAATGAGGAGTTGCTGGAGCAGCCGGCGGCTCCATTCATCTTTACTGAAGAGCGATTTATAAAAAGCAGCTGCAGATCAGCTGGTCCTGGATCAGCCGCTGAGAAATTCACAAAACATCAACAAATCTCTGTGAATTTATTACAATTTCTCCTCACAAATGGTCAAAACTTTGAGTTTAATTGAGGCCAACTCCCACCTGTAGGTGGCAGTGTTTCTTCTACTGCACTGCTGCCTTAGTATTACTTGATGTCCAGTTATAGTCCAGACTCTATCAAAAAGCTGCATTTACTGTCATCTGAGCGCTAATATTGCAAAATTACTTAAATCACCAAATTAGCACCACAAAATCTGGGATTGTGATTACAAAAAACCATCACAAAAACAATCGCAAAATCCTGGAGGGACTGATTAATGTGAAAAGATGTTGGATATTTATTGAAAATTCATGTTTTCCATGTTTTAATATTTGAGTTTCTACTGATTCTAAAAACAGTCAAGGGACTTAAAAAACAAAACATCTAGCCTTTTTGTTGTCAATAAGTTCATGGAAAATTAAATCAATAAAACAGCAAATCGGCAAGCGCTGCGCCGTTGCCCAGCAACCCCAGAAGCGTTCCATCCGTTACCTAGCAACCCAAGCTGAACTCCAGCACGTTTGTTCAGCTGGATTTATTGTTGTACAATGGCTGCCGGAAAAGACAAGGGTTTGGTTGTTGACTTGTTGGTTGTGCACTTCTGCTTTTCAAAGGTTGCATAGCTGCACATCTGTCTGCAGCCATTTTCATGTGTGTGTAAGTCGAGTTGGGGGGCGTGTCAAACAGCTGCTATTTGGATTTAAAGAGACAAGACGCCCTAAAACAACTCAAACTAGGCAGAACTGATTAGACTAAAATCTGATCATCTAAAAATGATTTTATGCAAAAAAAAAATGTAATGAAGATATTTTGTACCACCAGCATTTTGTCCTAATCTGTTCAAGGAAGTAAAATAGGTCACCTTTAATTTGAAGGCACTGACAGTTTAATATTTGTACAGTTTACTGGGTTTTCATCAACTCTGACCTTTGGGAACATTCGGGATCAGGATCTTAATTGGGCCTAGTTTAGATCATTTCTATTGGTACACAGTGAACTGACCCTGGATCAGTTCTTGGTGAACTGCTTACCGCTCTGGGTTCAAACATAAACCTGACCCTGGATCAGCTCTGGTCTCCTCCGCCAGGAAGCTAAATCGGGATGAGTTTGGGTTATTTACATGTGAAGCAGGGAGCTGGTCCTGGATCAGCGGCTCGGCTCAGCGGAGGGAAGCTGAGGTGAAGCTGCAGCTTTCAGTCCGCAGAGTTTATGTAAACCGGCCGCTCGCTGTGCGTTCACGCAGTGCTGCCTCTGGTCTCCATCTGCGCAGGATCCAGCGTCTCTCCACCGCCTGTCAGGTTGTATTCAGCTGCGAAGATCCTTTTATTCTGTTGTTGTTTGGTGTTTTGATTTATTTTAATACCACTGGACCATCTCAGCCGGTGTTTCTGCCTCTTGGCAGATCGATCTCGGGTTTAATGAGGCAGATTTCCTCTCCTGATCCTCTGATGCTCCTGTTTGCTGCCATATAACATTCCTGATACGATCAAACCCTTAAAACCGTCACTGCTGCTCCTGCAACTTTGCAATTTCTAATTTTAATGAAGCAGGAGACAAAATATTGGCTTAAAATCGAAAAGTTTGACTTTCAGATCTTGTCTCATGCTTTAAAATTTATTATTTCTGGGTGTTGTAGGAAAATTGTTTTAGAAACAAGAAAACAGAAACTCAGAGCGGAAAGTCCTTTCCAAAGAAACAAATGGTACAAATGTTAAAAACTTTAAATGATAAAAGAAAACGTTGAATTATTTTTACGTTTTTCATTTGTTTCTCTTCTTATATATTTAGATTTAAAATTGAGAGCAAAGTGGAAACTGTTGCATTTACCAACAGTTCCTCCTGGTTTATCATAATATCTTCATGAGAGCAAAATGGAACCAAAACCAAATTTCTTGTGTTCACAAATGTTGCAGAGAGAGATGATTATTGGTTATTTTAACACAGAAATTAAGATAAAAAAATCCTAAACTTAAATATATGTTCTATAAAACAGTTGAAATAAAAATATAACCATTTAAGTATAGGATTTAATGTAAAATATAACTTATAAAGTGCATTCACTTGTTGCATCTTCAACATCAGGCGTCAGACGCTTCATCAGCTGCAGTGGCAACAATGGTTTTATAATTAAAAAGCAGCCGGCGTTTAGTTTACTGTTGATAAAACTGTTTGGTTTCGTGCTGCTGCAGATAACGATCCAGACGCCTGGAAAAACGTGGAGGCAAAGCGGAGCTTTCTAATACAGAGGCAGAAAACAAGAGAGGCGCTGTGAATCATGCAAATGTATGAAAACAAGCTCTGCCTGGTGCAGAAAAAATCTCCCACATGACGCAGAATTCAAGGCTTTATATTTCATTGCACTACAGATTATTAATCTTAGGATTGATTTATGTTTTACACAAAGGCAGCAATGCAAAATGTTAAACAGTGAGTGTGAAATATGTAAAAATGAAGCTGGATATCATAAATACAAACACAATTTGAGGTATATTATTGTAAAAGTATTTATAAATTAGTTTAGAAGATTTTTCTTCATAAAATCTTCATTTCTTCATTTTTCTTCATTCTTCATATTTATTATAACCAGTTAGAATCGCTTTTAGAAACGTCTCAAAACTGTAAGGAAGTTGCGCTCAGTGTCTTCTTTTGAGGTTTTTATCTGGTTTCCTTCAGTGGTTCTTGGCATAGCGCCCCCACTGGCAAAGATGGAAACAACTTTGTAAATAAGTTTGGATTATTTGACGGTGCAATGTGAAAGTGAACCGCACCACCTGAAAATGTAACAAATGTTGCAGTTTTGGATGCGAATCAAAACTAGTTTACAGGTGAGATGGATAATTGTTGGAACAGGTGAGAGTTAAACCAGGTGAAACTACCAGGTGAGACGTGTGGCTGGTGAAATAGGTAAGGTGTGAGACAGTTACCAGGTGAGGAAGCGAACAAGAAGTACAGATGACAGTTTAGATGATTATCATATGAGATAGGTAGCAGGTGAGATGGACCAGGTAAGACAGGTAATGGTTGGAACAGGTGAAACGGTGACAGGTTTAGATGGTGACACAGATAACGAGTTCAAGAACAAGTGAGACGGGTAAGAGGGGGAGCAGGCGTGACGGGAGCAGGCGAGGGGGGGCAGCAGGCGAGAGGAGGCAGACGGGGGGGGCAGCAGGCGAGAGGGGGCAGACGGGGGAGTGGAGGGGGGCAGGCGTGACGGGGGCACACGTTGGGGGCAGCAGGCGAGAGGGGCATACTGGGGGGGGGGGGCAGGTGAGGCTGCAGAGTGACAGTGAAGAAGACGAGGGCCTATTAATATCTGCTGTCCCTGATAATCTGCCGGCAGACGCTCACATAACGTCTTCCTGCTAATCTGCTGGAACCGACAGTCGAGGAAACCCAGCAGGGATCAGGGATCACACCCACTGCTGCAGACACACTGGGAATACTGGGAACACTGGTGATACTGGTGACCCTCTCTAAATGAGGACCAAGGGTGGCAGAACAGGAAGTAGCGACTTGCCGTCCAGGTTCCTCCCGTGTTTCAGTTGACTCGTCTGTTTGGACGTTTATTTCTTTTTGTTCATTCTGTCCTCTTAAAGATAATCCATTCAGATTATTTTGTTTTCTTTAACTTGATTTTAGTTTGTTTCACATCTTGTTTTTTCTCTTTTCTACTTCTTTGGGTTGTTTTCTTTAACTCGACTTGTTCTGTTGCCATCTTGTCACTTTTTCATGATGCATCTTTTTGCATTGTTTTGGAGCTTGTTGAGCTTCTTTCTGGGTTGGTTCTTTTGGGTTCTTTGGGCGTTTTGCTGTTTTTTATGGACCATTACTGTCTCTTTTTGCAGTTTTTTCTTCTGTTAATCATTTTTTCACCATTTCTGAGTTTTTTCTGACAGATTTCTGTTTGATTCTCGAGGTTTTGACATCTGTACAGAGGCTCACAGTTTATTGTGTAGTGAAAAAATCTTAGTTTTTCCTTTATTTCAAGTTCAATAACTTGAAATACAGGAGCTCCTGTAATGTTTTTTGGAAGATTCAAGAGCTTGTTTTCAGTAAATACCTTAATATTAATAAAATGCACTAGTTTTAATGGAAGATTATTTCACTTATGACGTTTTGAAAAATAATCTGATAGTGGAATAAGTACTTTTTAAGGTATTATTTACTGAAAACAAGATTCTATATATTGTTGAGAAGTTACTTAAAAGTTATTTTTGTTTTATTTCAAGTGTACTGAAATACTAGAACCAAGAGTAACTGGTGAGTTTTTGTTTTTGCGGTGATGGGTGATGATGTGTGGATCATCGAGCCTCAGCCTGAGCGTTCAGAACGCCAACGGTGGCGTTTCAAATTCAGATTCCTGATGTTTTCTGTTCGGAGGCCTGGAAAGCAGCAGGTTGTCGTGGCTTTAATTACAGTTGTGGTTTGAGGCGATGACAGCTTCCTGTCGTCGTGCTGATTCTCCAGAGGAGTGAAAGCCTCACTTCCCGTGAGCAATTTATAATTCATGTTCCAGGTGAACAGGGATCAGGTGCTTCTGTAACATGAGGAGACCTTTATTCAGCCTGAATGAACGGAGCAGACAGAGAGCTGCTGTCGCCACCAGGAGGAAGCAGACTGTCCTCTGCTTCCACAGGAAGGAGTTCAAAGATTTCAGGGGAAATTCAGATAAATGGCGTTCAGTCCGGTTTCACCAAACCACACGAACTTCCTTAGCAGAAGAAACAGAAAAGAGAAAGAAGCTGCCTGGTCCTGCATTCTGCTGAGATGTGAGTTTAACGCGAACCTGTTGGACAAAAACATGTCAGGTCATTTACCTGTGGATTAGCCAGCCTTAAAGGGACAGCGTGACGTATTTTCCAGGCAACTGGTGACATTTTAAAGCATAATCGAGTAGGGCTGAAATGATTAATCGGATTAATCGTTTATTGAAATAATCGTCAACTCATTTGGTAATCGATTAACAGTTGGAGTGTACAGATTCAAAAAACCCAACACATTAAAAGCAGTAATTAAGCTGTTTAAGAATTATATACATTTTGCATTCAGGATAAAAACACAGTTGGCTTTGTGTAATGCATTTCTAATATTGCATGAAAAATGGTTCAATTAAATAAAAGTTTTAGTTTGATTAATCGATCAGTGGTTAATAAATGAAAAGAAACTTGATGTTGCAATTAGACCCCTTGAAAATGGACCTCTGTCTTTTTAAGAGGTTCTACTTTTCTGACAACAATGCTCCTCCATTATGCTGTTTACAACCGCTCTTAACCTCTGATCCTTACATTTCTGCAAACTGGAGATACAAAAATAAATTTGCTTCATAGAAATGGCATTTCAGGAAACATTTTGGTGCCAGGATGAAGCAGTTTTTCAGCCGAGTTGAAATTGGTGTATTTTGCAAAATTGTAATAGAAAAATTTTTTCGCATCACACCAGTCATGTGATCGACAACCGGAAGTAACCGGAAGTCACAGGGGATGATGGCGCAGCATGTTTTCCATATTCGCGTGATTTCAATTGCACTTATTATTTAATGGAAACACCGGAATTGAAAAATCGTGTTTCTTTTGACATTAACGAAATACCAACAAAGTTTTGCTCACACCTGTAATGAAAACGCAGCGACTGAAAGAGGTGGTCCAGTGGTCCAAAAGACTGATGTACATTAACAATCCCAACAATTCAGACAGTTTAGGAGTTTTAATTCTCATTAATGATAAATCAAAATCGTATCATTTATCGTGATAAACGATATGATAATTGCCAACCGTTACCTCTCACTGAGATCAGTTCCGGTAACTCAGCAAATTTTCTACACCAACAGCCGTAAGAGACCCGTCCGCAACCAACATGGACACATTTTTCCGTCGCCACTTCCGGAGGAAGGAAGCGTCCCTGGAGGGGGACCCCACCGCCGCTGCCTGCCGCCAGCGCCGGCCCAGCGTCGCCATCCCCACCAGTAAGGCCCGCCGCCGCTCCAGCGTGGGCCTCCCATCCTCCGCCCTGACGCAGCGCCGACGCTCGACCGTCCAGCCGCCGGCGCCAAAGAGAAAACATGGCCGCCGGCGGTCCAGCACCACCACGCCCAGCCTGAACCCGCGTTTCGCCGTGTGCCGGAAGAAGGTGGGGAAGCTGCGGACCATTGACACCCACCTGCTGGGGCCGTCCATGCTGCTGGCCAGCCTCATCCAGATGGCGGAGGAGGATGAGGAGGGCGGTCTGGGGGCGGGGCTTCCCGCAGGTGAACAGCAGGTGGAAGTGAGGGGCGGAGTCAACAACAGAGCGGCATTTTCCCGCTCCAGCAGCCTCCAATCGGACCGAGACGACGACAGCAGCGATTACTCCAGCAATAGCCAATCAGAAGGCAGCATTCTGTCTGAGACGGAGCAGCTGCCTGAGGAAGAAGAGGAGGACGAAGCCTCCACCTCCTCCCTCTCTACCTCCGCCCTGCTAGTGCAGAGGAAGCCCCCGGATGTTCTGTCCCAGTCGCGGCCCCTGATCCGGGCCCCTCGCTGCCTTCGCAGGAACTCCTCCCAGGTGTTCGCCGGAGACCTGTCCCCGTTCGTCTGCTACCGCGGCTCCAGCCAGAGGAAGAGGAGGAAGATCTCCACCATCTCCAAGGCTGGGAGCCCCTGGCCGGGCAGAGGCCACCCGCTGCCCTGCCGCAAGAGCTCCGTCTACTACCTCAACCACCCGGCCTTCTACAGGGGCCCCGGGCCCCTCAGCCCGCTGGGGCCCCACAGCTACGACTCCCGCCTGGAGAGTCTGAGTGCCTTCCTGCTGTATGTAGTCCACACTAATTTAGCTCTGTGACCAAAACCCAAATATTTAAGAACTTAAAGGTGATCTATTACGATTGAACAGTTAAGGATCGGTCTATAGAAAACATGATCATTACCCCACAAAATTTTGTGAGGTAAATCACAATGAGGAAACATGCAGTTACTGTGCTGGGGTTGCTAGGGAACGGTCGGAACTCTGTCGGGGTTGCTAGGTAACGGTCGGAACTCTGTCGGGGTTGCTAGGTAACAGACGGAACTCTGTCGGGGTTGCTGGGTAACGGTCGGAACTCTGTCGGGGTTGCTAGGTAACTGACAGAACTTTGCCTTGGTTGCTATTTCACAGAAAACCGAGGAGTGAAAACTTGGACTGATGACTATATGTGATGATGTAATCTCTAAATGTAGCGATGCTGTAAGGATGGATAAAATCTTGCTCAAAGGTTTGCTCAACAGTTTAAAATTTTGAAAGGTGTATGAACAAAAATGTTTCTTCTCGGTTAGAATTTCACAAAAATGTGTGAAATTATAACTGAGAAACATGATAGTTTTTGTTCAAATCGGTACTAAATTAAAGGACTATTTCACTGTTGTTAGAAGAGTTTTGCCTTGTTTAAATCAGTTGCAGGTACATTTTGTTTAGCACAGCACATTACTGATCACTACTTCTGTAGTAATTAGTTTTTCCAATAATTTACTTCATACATTTTATTTTATCTCGTAATGATGGGAAGACATTTCTATGTAACTGAAATGACGTTAGCTCTGGTAACATTTTTCACAATTCATATTGAATTGCTTTAACGCCTGATGTAAAAGAAACTTTCTCAGAGTTTTTTTTTCTTCTTCTGCTGTTTGCAGGAAAGCCATCGCCAAGTCGGGCCTGCAGAACGCTGCGACTCAATCCAACGCGTCCGGACAGACGGACTCTCAGCAGCCCAACAGCACCATCGACTGGAGCGTAAGTCACTTTTCATTCAGAAATAAAACACAGCTGAGTTGTGTTCAGTAAAACACAACATTAGTTTCACTTCCTGAAAAGTATTTGTGTATTTTGGGTTGCAGGAGAACGCCCAGTACGGGGAACACATCTGGTTCGAAGCCAGCGTTTCTGGAGACTTCTGTTACGTTGGAGAACAGTTCTGCGTCGCCAAGTCTCTGGTGAGTTCACCTCCACTGGTTTGCTTTTGGTCCCAGCGGGAAAAGAGGAGCGGCTCTATCAGGGCCGGCCCAAGCCTTTCCGGGGCCCTAAGCATGGTTTGGGAAAACGTCCCCGACTCACCGTGAACTCGATCTGTTTTTCCAGCAAAAGTCCGTACCACGGATGAAATGTGCTGGCTGTAAGATATCGGTGCACGTCATGTGCATGGAGCAGCTAGAGAAGGTAAGTGAGCTCCAGGTCAGAACGTCGTCTCAGACGTCTCTCCTCCTCAGCTGAAGGTTTCTGTCCTCTGCCCAGATTAACTTCAGGTGCAAACCGTCGTTCAGGGAGCCGGCGTCTCGAGCCGTCAGGGAGGTCAGCGGCGCGTCTTCACGATCTGAAAGTGTTCACTGTTGACGTAACGTTGAGGTAAATAACGCTCTGAAAACGTCTCGTTCTCCAGGCCAACGTCGTTCGACATCACTGGGTCCACAGGAGACGGCAGACAGGGAAGTGTCGGCAGTGTGGGAAGGTTGGTCTCTGACGGGATGAGTTTTCATTCTGTTTCTAAACCAGATTTACATATTTTCTTCACAAGTTCTTCTTCTCACAGTTGTTTTTCGTATAAAATCGCTGGTTTGGGGACATTTAGCAGTGAATGAATGTTCCGTTTTCTGCTCCTTCCACATTTCTGGAAAAACCAAAAGTTCATCAGAACATCTCAGGAACAAGAACAGTCTGACTTTTGGCAGATGCTTAAAAATGTAGGAAAAAGTGTAACATTTCCCACCTCAACTTATAAAACAACCATTCAAACTTTAAACAACTTGTTTCTGGTTTTACAATGTAACAGTTTGAGGTTTTTTTCTCCATTTTCCATCAGAATAATGAGCTGACAGTAATAATGTCACACACTGTAGATTCTAACCTCAAGAAAAGCTCTGACATTTATTTGACTTAAACTACAGAAAACTGCAACTCATGGGAATCTAAATCAAAGAATGAATTAATTTAGCAGTTTTCTAGTCATACTGACCGTCGGTCAACGGGCAACTTGTGCAAGGAGAGGAAACTGGAATCAAACGTGCGAGTTTCAGATCGACAGCTCCTCCAACTGTTCCTGTCTCCAACAGGGCTTCCAGCAGAAGTTTACATTTCACAGCAAAGAGATCGTAGCCATCAGCTGCTCGTGGTGCAAACAGGCGGTGAGTTAACGTCGTTAACGCAAAGCTCCAGCAGGTGACTTCCTGCCAGCTGACGCTCCGTCTCCGTTTCAGTATCACAACAAGGTGACGTGCTTCATGCTGCAGCAGATAGAGGAGTGCTGCTCTCTGGGGGCCCACGCCGCCGTCATCGTCCCTCCAACATGGATCATCAGAGTCCGCAAGCCGCAGGTATTTACACAAATGTTTTCCTGGATTTTAAACTCCAAACCCACCTCCCAACTACTTCCTGTTTCCCCTGTCTGGGATCCAGACCATCATCCTTGAAACTGGTCTGGATCTCCAGGCCAGTTTGAAATCTCATGGAAGATTTTATTTTGTTCTTGCTGCAAGATAAATAAATAAATTAGAGCTGACTTTATATTAATTTATTAAATTTCTCTTTGGAATCAATAAAGTATTTTTTAAATTGAATTTCTAGTCTAACCTCCACCATAAATCTTCTCATTTTTTATTGATCAGTGGGAGGGCTGGTGCTAAAGACTGATCAGTTGCTCTAGAGAAAAGTTTGCAGTTGTTGATAGTTTCTGTTTTTCTGCAGACGTCTCTGAAATCCAGTAAAAAGAAGAAACGGACGTCGCTGAAGTGCAACAAGTCGACCAAGAAGGGAGCAGAGGTCAGCAAAGAGCCGCTAATCGCGACTCTGAATGCAGCTTGAAACAGTCATTGAACGCAGCGTTTTGCATCATGTTTCTGCTCCCTTTCCCATCTTTTGGTCGCCCTTCAGCTCCAAGATGGCCGCTGGAAGCCCTTCCTGGTGAAGCCCCTGCCCTCCCAGCTAATGAAGCCTCTGCTGGTGTTTGTTAATCCGAAAAGCGGCGGGAATCAGGTAGTTTTCACTTTGGTTCATATCAAGATCCTGAATGTTCTCAGGAACCAGCCGGGCCAAAATGTATTGATAAAACTCATTAACAACTTGTTAAAAGATGAATAAATAAGTAATATCTTTACACATTGATCTGTTCCTCTGTTTGTTTTTCTGATTTTTGCCACCAAAAACTATTATAACTCAGCAGCTGACTTGCCGTCTTCTTCTTGTGTTCTTTTGTTTTTCAGGGAGCAAAGATCATCCAGTCCTTCATGTGGTACCTGAACCCTCGGCAGGTGTTTGACCTGACCAAAGGAGGGCCCAGAGAGGGGTAAACAATCTTCCTCACTCGTCGTAATTCCTCATTGGAACCTCAAACATTTAATCCAGATCCGTTTCTTTGTTTTCTGCAGGCTGGAAATGTACTCCAAAGTTCCCAACCTGCGGATCCTGGCCTGCGGCGGCGACGGCACCGTGAGTTAAACGTGAATAAAACAGAGCTGTGGATGAAACGGATCCTGTGGTCACATGACCTCTGTCCGTTCAGGTGGGATGGATCCTGTCCGTGTTGGACCAGCTGAAGCTCCGCCCCCAGCCTCCGGTCGCCATCCTTCCTCTGGGGACGGGGAACGACCTGGCCAGGACTCTGAACTGGGGAGGGGTGAGTCCAGTCGCTTCAGCTTTTATTTTCTTTATTCTTTATCTAATGATCATTAGTTACCAACTATTCTGATAATTAATCAATTAGTTTGATTAAAAATGGCACATTCTGCAGATTTTTATATAATATTAGAAATATATCAAAAGATGTAAATAAGCAAATAATTCATTTCCTTTTTAAAATAATAAAATAAACAATTTATTGCCTAAAATGCAGTTACAGTATTCCTTTAGTGAACATTGGATCAATTGTGCTGATGGATTGAAACGATTAATCGCGATGAATCCACTATTGAAATACTCATCATCTAATGTAGTATTTGATTAATCGTTATCTGGAGCAGACAGACTCCAAAAAGGCCATTGCTGACAGAACGACACAATCGGATCAGAAATTAAAGCAAAATAGAACTAAAAATATATACATTTTGCATTTAAGATAAAAAAAAAAAACCTTTCTTGTACTTTGCTGCAAATGATTCATTAAAGAAACACCTTAATCTATTTCTAATATTGTATAAAAAAGGCTTAAATAACAAATCTGCAGATTGTGTCAATTTTTATTATTTGATTAATCATCCGAATGATCGATTAATCGGCAACTTTAAAAGTTTGAATGTGGAGCTGAAAATAAATGCGAAACCTGCTTGACTTCACATCAATACAGTGTTGGGCTGATTAATGTTGAATTAATAATTGAATAGGAAAATGTAAAAAAAAAAATTTGAACCAGGTGAAGCTGAAATTGCAATTTGTCTGAACATATTTACAGACAAAACGGGTTTTTAATCTTAAATGCAAAATGTATATTATTTTTTCTACAGTTTTGATTTCATTGCTCATCTGAGTTTATTGTTCTCTCAATAAATAACTTTTTTCACTCTGTGTGCTTAATTTAACAATTAGTTTCTAAGATGGTAGATGAATTAATCACGATTAATCATTTCAGCCCTGTTTAGAAATGTGAACTTTGGTTGAGCATAAATGAAGATGTTTTCCAGTCATCCTGCTGTGCTGCGCCCTCAGGGTTACACCGACGAACCCATCACCAAGATCCTGTCGCACGTGGAGGACGGGAACGTCGTCCAGCTGGATCGGTGGAACCTCAACGTGGAACCGAACGCCGAGGCTCGACCCGAGGAGCGAGATGAGCAGCAGACCGACAAGGTCAGATCCGGTTCGGCGTAGATGAAACCCAGCGTTCCCTCAGCTGCGTCACGTTTCGTTTGCTTTTCAGCTCCCGATCGACGTCTTCAACAACTACTTCAGCCTGGGCTTCGACGCTCACGTCACACTGGGCTTCCATGAATCCAGAGGTCAGTCCAGCCCAGGGTTAATGCAGTTTGGGGTTTTTCTTTGTGTCTGATTTAGTTAGTTTTTGTTTTAGGAGTCTCCTTGCTAATTTTCAATGAGATATTATTAGTTATTATTGGTTAGTTTTAGTTTAGTTTCTATGATCTATTTTCATACTTTGGTTCATTTTATGTGCAGAATTCAAAGGAAGAGACAATTTTACAAAAATATACTTAATTATTGTTGAGCAATCAACTGGTGTCACCTTTTTGCAGGCTAGCGCTTCGTTTTAGCTGCCAACTTGTCAACATAGCGCGCTATTTCTGAAATGTATTATATTTTAAATATAAAAGAAAAAGGGACAATGCTTTGCTATTGATTGTCAACACTACAACAACTAGATTACAAGGTCAGGAAAATGTTTAATAAAAAATAGAGAGAGAAGCAGACCAACTAAGCTAGCATGACTTTGACAACTTTATCATGTAGATGTGCTGTGGAATTTGATGACGGTTAAAAAATAAAAAATGGGAACCTAAACACCAAGTCTCTGACAGATCATCAGTAGATCAGTTGATTAAATTAACTAATTAACCTCCACTTATAAACATCAAGCCTAAAAACATGATAATGATATGGACTGAATGTTGTGTTTTTTGTGTGGGAAATGTTTGGTGTTAATATCAGGATTTATACACAGCATCTGTGGTCAGCAGTCAGTTTGGTCAAGCACAGAACTTCAGTTTGAGCTAAAGATTGAGTTGTTGGCAATATATTTTTTAATTGCTGGCTGTTTTTTTATAAAATACCAAATATACTATAATCCTACCAAGAATCCCATTTTCTCCTTTTTGTGTTTTCAGAGGCCAATCCGGAGAAGTTCAACAGCCGCTTCAGGAATAAGATGTTCTACGCTGGAGTGAGTCCGGCTTCCTTCAGTCCATCCCCTCGGAAACGTCTTACATCCATTCATATGTGTTTTGTTTTTTTTCAGACGGCCTTTTCGGACTTCCTGAGCGGCAGCTCCAAAGACCTGGCCAAACACATCAGAGTGGTGGTGAGTGCTGGCAGCGACCAGGTTCTCCTTTATGCCGTTTCCTCAGAACTGAGCAGCATTTAAAAATAGCCACTGGTTTTCATTCCTGAAGCTCAGAGAACCAGTGTTTCGCTCTGTGCATCATTTTCCATCACCGGGTCAGATTGAGGTCTGACACGCTGCTGCAGACGCAGGTTTTGGTTTTATTTCCATCTGAACAAACCCGCATTCAGAGAGAATAAAACGCATTTAGGTGACGTTGCAGAGCCTTTTGTATCCGACGAGATACAACAAAGTTTCATTCATTTCAATAACATCAGCAGGCTTTGTTACTGCATCTCTTTTGTCCTTTTTATAGCCTCTGAGATGCATTATCCCAGCTAACCAGCTTCATGTTCGCTCTGACACAACCACTGCTGCCACAGGATATATAACGAGTATTTCTCTTCAAAATTGTAAACATTTGTTCCACTAATGCTATAGAGCTGCACCTTCATTTTGTGGTGAAGTTAATGCTAAAGTGCAAACCTCAGTTACCAAATTATAACTGCTAACTAACCTATAATTGCTAATGTAATACATGAACTTGAATGACTCCAACCATCAACCGCAAATTTAATTTTGACATAATTTACATACCTTATTGTGTTCATGTGTATATCTTGTCCTCTGCTGTCTGTGTTTATTTTCTTCCTGTATGTACAAATACATGTTTAAATGAAATTATTTGGGGGGAAAAAATTAGCGAGAATATGAGGAAAAGAAACGTATGGCAGGCCGTTAAATTTCTGCAAGAACACTCAAAAATTTTTCAGAAAAACTGAGTTTCAAAAGTCCAAAACAAAACTAAATTTCTGAACTCAGAAATTACCAGACATTAATCTGAAAATTCATGTTTTTTTTTCTAGCAAGTGTTTTTGGAACTGAGAGCTTGTCTTGTTTATGTTTGAAAATGCTTAAAAATAATCTCAAAATGTTTGCTTTTTGGCAGGAATGTATTTATTTACTTTGCCCTAATATGTTGTTGTAGAAACAGAACTGCAGTGTAAACAATGTTGACACATTTCAAAATAAGAGCATGCTTATAAACTACTCATTACTCAAAAAACAACACAGACGTCAAACTTTATTCAACTGAAAATTCACCAAACGGTTTCGAAGTTGGCTAAACAAAACGTTAGCTTTGCGATTAGCAGATTAGTAAAAGTTTTCACAGCAAGTGAAAATTTTGTCCTGAAATTTGATGTTTTAGAAGCAGCAAAATGGAAAAAATAAGGATGCAGAAGCTGGAATACGATTTTCTCTGAAGCTGCAGGTTTTCCTTTGTGTTTTCCAGCGTCTTTTGCTCAATATCTTTTGTTTTTCAGTCATTTCCCCTCTTTTATTGAAATATTTCTAGGCTTATTTCCCTGACATACTTCAGCTGAGCTGTGATTTTATTTATCTGCACTGTGTTCTGGTCGCAATTTTAATTACGGCCGTCTCACCTTTAACCCCGTTTGTATTTTCTCAAAGTGTGACGGGACAGATCTGACGACGAAAGTCCAGGAGATGAAGCTGCAGTGCCTCCTCTTCCTCAACATTCCCAGGTTGTGGAACAGGAGAGGAATATTTTTTACAGTGCATTAAAGCATTGCCTCTGTCGTTTAAACTCCTCGGATCGTTCTTGTTTTGTTCTGCAGGTACTGCGCCGGCACCACTCCCTGGGGAAACCCCAGTGAGAGTCAAGACTTTGAACCTCAGCGTCACGATGACGGCTGCATAGAGGTCATCGGGTTCACCATGACTTCTCTGGTGAGGTCAAAGTTCAATCACTGCGATCACATAGAATTGGCTGCAAATTTTTCAATTTAGGTGTAAATGCTTCTGGTATGTGATTTGGCAAAGAAGAACAATAAAATCCCCTTAATTTAGATAAAAACATAAAGCTCTTCAGTCAAACATAAGGCCTGGGGGCCAAATCCGGCCCGCCACAGCTTTTTATGGGGCCGTCTATACTCCAGAGTTATGCATAAATAGATCCTTCAAAATAACTGTTGTGTGCTTAAATATGATTTTATTAATCAAACCAGTGCATTTTAACCATTTACTGCAAAGTTAACTTGCGATTGCAACCTGTCCTGCAACTCGGCTCCTTCAGACTAGCCAGCAGCAATTGGCAAACAGCTGGTGGAACTATGCATATGCTGAACTCATTTTAAGAGCTACTTCTCAGTGCAACACTGATAAAATGTTATTTATGGGTAACTAGAGTAGCCATGTTGCTATGACTTCCTGAAGGTGGAGTTTCAGAAAGAGCAGGAACTCTTAGAGAGACAGAGGCCCAATTTCAAAGCATTAAATTGCAAAGTCAAATTTCTTGTAAGTCATATTTGATATATAGTATTCTTATAACAACTTATAACAGCTTACATATCCTGTGCATAATACTGCCCCTCTAAGTGTCATCGCTTTATGACTCCGCTCATGTTTCCCTGTGTTCTGTGTGAAGGCGACGCTGCAGGTGGGCGGCCACGGGGAGCGTCTACACCAATGCAAAGAGGTGACCCTCACCACCTTCAAGTCCATCCCCATGCAGGTGGACGGCGAGCCTTGCAAGCTGGCGCCGTCCATCATCCGCATCAACCTTCGGAACCAGGCCAACATGGTCCAGAAAGCCAAGAGAAGAATCTCCATGCCGCATCTGAACGAGTAAGAGTCGGGACTGAACGGTGCTAAACTCAGGAGGAGTTGATGTGTTATTAACGGAGTGCCTCAGGGCTATGTTCTTAGCCCATTTCCAAAGCCCCAAATAATTTAAAGGGATCCAAGATTAGTTGAACATGTTGGCCTAGATATGTCGTAATTTTCCTATTAACTAAAAAATTGCTATTTGTGACGCACCAAAACTATAATTACTTCAAAAAAATTTTCTTTTTTTATATTTTTTACCCACTTTTGCACCTGTTGGGTTCATGACGCGGTTTGGTCTGTTCTGTACTGGAATTTGATCGATTTCAACCAGCTCAGGTTGAGTAACAACGTTACTCATCGCTGGGCTGGACGGAGCTACCGCAGTCGGACCTGTAGAGTCATTTACCCATAATGCATTGCAGCGTGAACAACACGTTTGTGTGACAATATTTTATTAACATTCATAAAAACTAAAAAACCTACAGTATTGTGTTTACATCTAAAATGTACAAAGTCTATTGTAACTAATTATGGATCATTTTAAAGTTAAAAATCAGTGAGTACAATGCAAAAACACAAAATATTACCAAGTATTTTTCATGTAATTGCTAATGCAAAAATCTTAGTTGACTTGAACCAAGACTAACTTAAAAATAACTTTTTCAGCAGGATGTAGGAGATTGTTTTAAGTAAATAATTCCTTAATATTGATTAAAAAAATACTAGTTCCACTGGCAGATTGTTTCAGTTTTTTTCCCCCATGTTACAAGTTAATTTATCTGCCAGTGGAGTGAGTACGTTTTCATCAATATTAAGGAATTATTTACATAAGACAAGTGTCTATTTCTTGCAGAAAATTTACTTTCAAATCAGTTTAACTTACAAAGATATTTGCTCTAGAAATTAGACCAAAATTAGATTTAGTGTTTTTGCAGTGCACAGTTGGACATCAGCAGGTTTTTTCTTAAACATGAGAGTCGGAGGCGTAGCTCTTGCTTGTCTCGGTCCGTGTTGTGTTCTTGAAACGTTGTGCGTGTGTGTGTGTGTCCTCTTTAGGCTAGTGTGTAAATGTCAGTGTGTGTGTGTTTGTGCGCAGCCAGCAGCCGGTTCCTGAGAAGCTGCAGATCAGAGTGAACCGGATCAGCATGGCGGCGTACGAGGCTCTGCATTACGACAAGGACCAGCTGAAGGAGGCCTGTGAGTGCTGGCTTTATTCTCCTCTCACTTTAAAACTGAAGTCGATTAATCCGCTTAGCTGCGATTAATCGATTATTGACGTAATCGTCTGGCTAATTTAGTGATCAATTAATCGTTAGTATACAGACTAATGCTGTTTGCTGAAAGAAAAACTCACTCAGAGCAGTAAAAACTATATACATTTTGCATTTAAGATGAAATTTTTTTTTGTTAAAACAATTCATTTTAAAGAATTTAAATTATTCGCGTCCAAACGTTTTGGCACGAGGGCTGAAAAATGTCACGTTTAAAATTGGAAAATCATTTTATTTGTACCTGCTTAACATGCACAGAATGTCTAATTAAATAAGCAAATATAAGCAAATTTTGTCGACAAATAACCTTTAAACCATAAAAAGGGTCTTTCAGATTTGCCAGATAAAAAAACAAAAAAAAACTCCAGCAATTTATGTTTGAAACTTTTTAGGTAGTTTTTACCTTTTTCTTGATATTTTTTGTATCTTTTCAGCAAAAACAATTAAGTTTATTAAACTGTTAGGAACAAATCTGCATTTTAATGAATGTTTTTGTCACTTTCACTATTAAAATAAAATAAAAACGAAAACCTTAATGAATACTTTGTGTTGCACATTATAATTTCCATTTTAGGATTTTAAATTGTCGGTATCGTTATTGAAAGAGGTTGAAAATTGTCCCCCCTAAATGCGCATCGACATCGACAGCCTGGCAAACCAACTTTCAGTCAGTCTTCGATTTCGATTAACTCGTTCCGAGGGCCACAAATGGCCCCAGGCCTCACTTTGAACACCCCAATCCAAACCCAGAGATGATCAATTTGACGATCGTTTGTGCAGCGACGCCGCTGGGAGTCATCGTCGTCCCCGGCGACAGCGACCTGGAGATGTGCCGGCTGCACATCGAGCGTCTCCAGGACAACCAGGACCAGGAAGTAGAGCAGGTGCGTACCTGGTGGTGGTGGAGCAGATCCGGCAGGAGTCTGGAAGAACCGGGTTTCATCCTGGTTCTTTTTCTGCTCCTGCAGGACGGAGACGAGATGAAAGGAGAGAGTCTGTCGTCACAAAAACTCTCCATCAACTGGTGTTTCCTGGACTGTAAGCCTCACACACAACATCTCACCTGAGACCCTGACCCATCCTGACCCGTCCTGACCCGTCCTGACCCATCCTGACCCATCCTGACCCGTCCTGACCCATCCTGACCCGTCCTGACCCGTCCTGACCCATCCTGACCCATCCTGACCCGTCCTGACCCATTCCTGACCCATCCTGACCCGTCCTGACCCGTCCTGACCCATCCTGACCCGTCCTGACCCATCTGACCCATCCTGACCCATCCTGACCCGTCCTGACCGTCCTGACCCGTCCTGACCCGTCCTGACCCGTCCTGACCCGTCCTGACCCATCCTGACCCATCCTGACCCGTCCTGACCCATCCTGACCCGTCCTGACCCATCCTGACCCATCCTGACCCGTCCTGACCCGTCCTGACCCATCCTGACCCGTCCTGACCCGTCCTGACCGGCCTTTCTGTTTCCAGGTACGACTGCAGATCGGTTCTACAGGATCGACCGGGCTCAGGTAGGACCAGAGGTTTCTGCTCTGAGACCTTCATGACCTTCGTGTTTTCTTTGTTCAACGGATCACAAACCAGCTACTGATACGAGGTTAAATAAGACTCAGCTCTATATTTTTACTTAATTCTGGTCCATGACAGTCAGAACCAGAACCCAGTGGAGGTTCTGGATGAGTCCAGTCCACTCTGAGCAAGACTGATTAAAAATACTTTCATTTTAATTTCTCCAATTTAAATGAAACGCCAAAATGTTCTTTCTGCTGGACGTATCAATACAGTGTCGGACAATTTCTGCTCTTCAACCAATCAGCACCAAGGAGAATGAATGGCGCTCCCTGATTGGCTACTTTGCACTGCAGCATTACGCCGAGTCATTTCAACTTCCCAAGATTAATATTTTAGATATCCTCTTAGAAAAAATATGCAAATAATTTAGTCATGAAAATTCCATTAATTATTGGATATTTCTAAATATCACCAAATCATCAGTGCAGAAGTAACATTTATGTACACATATATATTTGTTTTTACCAAACTTCTTTAATTAAAGACAATTTTCCTGATGATAAAAATTGAAATTGAATCTGAGTTGATGTGAGACTTGATGTTTTTCTCACTTTTTACCCCCAGGAACACCTGAACTACGTGACGGAGATCTCTCAGGATGAGCTCTACATCCTGGACCCGGAGCTGGTGGCGAAGGAGACTGTGGGAACCTCCCCCAATATGCCGGACCAGTTCTCCTACCCCTCCTCCCCCTCGTCACCCGCCTCTCCCAGGTGAGTCTCTTTCTGATTCGTCTGCAGAAATCTAAGAACATGTCCAGGAACGTCATTTTAGTTTGACATTTATCAAGATTAAAGCTGAAAAAACACAGACTTGTATCTTAAACTTATTTTAAAAACTCCTTTAAAGGGAATTTATTATCCAAAATTCAAAGTTTTGCACGATTCTGTTCTTCCATTTGGGTCTTTGCTGCTTCTAAACGCCCAGATGTGCTTTGGCAATAAGTCAGTGTTTTTTTGGTGCCTGGAAAATGAGTCGTCTCCCGTTAGTCACATTTCATCAGGCACTGTGACGTTGCCTAGCAACCCCAGCACAGTCCTGCCCGTTACCTAGCAACCCCAGCACAGTCCTGCCCGTTACCTAGCAACCCCAGTTTGACCGCTTTATAATGGCTGCTGGAAAAGACGAGTGTTTTGCTGGCTTACTATTCAGAAACCACTTGCTGCATTCTTATTGGTTGAGCAGGAGGCTCCACTTCTGCTTTTCAAAGATGTACGGCCGTATAATTGCGCGTTTTCATGTAGGTCTGTAAACATTGAGTTTCGAGGGGGGATGGAGGGGTCAACAGCAACTTATTCGGATTTAAAGTGATAAGATGTCCTAAAACAGTTCAGACCAAACAGCATTCTTATCATGATCTCAGAATGATTTTCTATGTAATGACCATGCTTTGTATAGGCCAGTGGTCGGCCCTCGAGGGCCAGCATCCTGCATGTTTTAGTCTCTTTATTGCTGAGGAGGTTGTCGCTACCACCAGAGAAAGAACTAAAACATGCAGGACGCCGGCACTCCTGGACCGACTTCGGGCTCCACCGCTGTAGACCGCAGTTCCATCCAAATATTCCTGTTGGAGGAAGTTGGTACTGTAGCAGCTCATCGCCTCCGATAATAGGAGGGGGAGTCATTTAATGCAGAGATCTGTGATGAAGTGAACTCCAGCTGCTGTTTGGAGTGCTGTTGCCACAGAGACGCTCATCTGTCTCTGCGCTGGTCACGCAGTCATGATCGATCGTCCGCCGAGGACCAACTGGAGGACACACAGTGAAGAGTGTGTGTCTGTGTTTCAGGCAGAGGAAGAGGATCTCCAGTGACAGTTCGGTGTCAGGGGCTTTGACCCAGACCTCACCTAAAACTACTCTGCAAAGGTAAACACGCACGCACGCACACACACACACACACACACACACACACACACACACACCACCGCCGCTCTGGACAGCTGGGATGGAGGAAGTTTTTGTGTCCGATGTTCTGGTACCTGGAGCTGTTAGAGGCTCCGTTTCTGCTACAGTTTCCTGACCAAGCAGTCAGAAGTTGCTGTCATCTGTTGAACTGATGTGGACCGTTTGTTCTAGTCTGGATCGTTGGTTCTGGTCTGGTCTTTAAATGGAGTGATGGTTCTGATCCAAGTCTGGCTTCTGGTTCTCGAGTCTTGGTTCTGTTCTGAGACCAGAACTTGTTCAACACTAGAGACTGGTTCTCTCTCGGCAGTCTGGTCCGAGTCACACAACAGTCGGATTTAGTCCAGAGAAAAACTCTGACCGATCTCTGAGAAGTCCAAATGCTCCAGAACCGTTTGACTGAAACTAGAACTAAATAAATTAAATATTGTTTATAAAAAAAATCTAAGTTTTAAAGTTTAAAACTTGTTTGTATTTCCTAGTTTGCAGCTCAAACGATGAGCAAAGATAAACTCATGTTCACCTTGACAATATTTCCTAATCACTAGAAGAGAAACTGAATATTGATTTAGAGAAAATGAGCCATCAGATATGATCTGGTGGTTCTGATCCAGACCAGTTCTACAAACAAACGGACTCAGATCAGTTTCTGAGAACTTCCTCCAGCCCTGACCGTCTGCAGAGTGAGTCCAGAGCGCCCCCTGCTGGAGCGGCTCCGTCTGTGTCGTGTGTGAAGTGAAGAGCCGCCTGCCGGTCCCGCTAACGTTCTCCCGCTGTCATGTCTGCTGTTTCCTGTCTGTGATGTGAAGGAGAGGAGCAAAGATAATCAGTGTCAATCGCTCCGTTTCGACCGCGGCTGATTTCAGACCAGCTGTTAGGTAGGACCAACCTGTCTCTGTCCTCCTGGTTCCTCCCGTTTCCTCCTGGTTCCTTCTGGTTCCTTCTGGTTCTTCCTGGTTCCTTCTGGTTCCTCTTGTTTCCTTCTGGTTTCTCTTGTTTCCTCCCGTTTCCTCCTGGTTTCTCCCCATTTCCTCCTGGTTCCTTCTGGTTCCTTCTGGTTCTTCCTGGTTCCTTCTGGTTCCTTCTTGTTTCCTCCTGGTTCCTCCCATTTCCTCCTCTGCTCTGGGTTCTGCTTTCTGCGTCTCATCTTCTTTCTGCGAGACAAGCTGAGCTCTGCAGGAGGAGATGATGTGATGCTGTGGCGAAGCGGCTTTGCCTTCATTTCTGACGATGTGTTTGTGTGTCGATGCGTCAGACTGAGATTCTGGTTTTAACTTCTCACAGTTTCTGCTTTTGACGTCCTGCAGACAAAAATGCTTCCAGAGAAACTCCAGAAAACAGGAGAGCAGGATAGATTTAAGCAACTCCTGAGAAATCAAATACTTTTTTAATGTTTATTTCATCTTTACACTTATTTATAAATATTTTTCAGTATTCTATCTTTTAATTAATTAATTGAAACAAAATTTGTTCATTTATTGTAGAAATCAAATGCATTTTTAAAATATTTATATTGAATTGATTTATACATTTTTAGGAAAAATGCTTTTTAAAATACTTGAGTTTTTTTATTATAATTTATTTCTTATTAATTTAATTCATTTTTAAATTTGGGGAAAAATACATTTTAAAAATCAGATGTTTACTTTTCTGATACATTTTAAGAGTCACCTTCTGGACAGAAACAGAACAGGCTGTAGAAGATATTCGCAGGGAAAACGGCGTCTTAGTTTTATAAAAACTCTGGAGATTATTTAAAATAATGGACCAAATGCACGCTGGGAAGGTTCAGACCAAAGCAGTCTGTGTGTTTTGGCTCTAACATGTTGTGGTGTGGGAACAGGGATTACCTGAGTATTAAAGGGTTTCACTGTGGTATTTGGGTGGAGTTCTGGTTGACTTTTCAATGGAGGTCAAAGGTCAACTTTGGACATCTTCTCACTCTGATCCGGGTTGGTTCTGATTCTGTCTGTCTCCTCACAGAACCTCCACTGCTACCTCACAGGACCCTGAAAAAGGTGAGTTAATCTAAGGTTGATCGATGTTATTGATCGACAAAGGATCGATAACGTCCTTGTCTATTAAAGGATTAATTGACAATCCAGAATTGTCTCTAGTATCAAGAGGGCTGATGTCTTTCCATAAGATAAATGGCTACACTCTGAATAATATGCTGCTTCGTCGTGCTGCTTGGCTGAATGACCGTTGATGAGGTGAAACGTTACTTGAAGAGTTTTTATATTTTTAAACAGAACCGCATAAAGTGCTTTTTCCATCTGTTTGTCTTTATCATTATGGTCTTAAATTAACGCTTGAATTACTTTAGACGATGGACGTCCAAACGTTTTGTCACCTGGACCAAAATCTTCAGCCCAAAAGCCCTGTGGTTCAAATAAATATAATTTTTAAAAACTAAAAATGGATTTTTAACATAGTCAACAATAAACTAGGCATGTACTTTTTTAAAAATTAAACAGTTAAACATAAGATTTTTTGTTGTTGTTTAAAGGATCGCAGATCTAAAAATTACATGTTTTTCTACTTATTTTGGGCTTGATGAAAACAGGAAAAATAAATAAATATTTTGTAGTATTTTCTCAGCAAAAAATAGAAAATAAAAACAAGATCTAGGTTAGTCTTCATGTGATGTTTAGTTAAAGTTTAATAAAGCAATTTAATACAGAATTGGGTGAAACAAATTGTTCATAGTTTAAGTTGATGAGACAACAGGAGAAAACCGGAAAAATCCATCTAACATTTTTGTAAATAGATTTTAGTTTAAAAGTCGTAGTTTTGTCCGAATTTATTTGATTCACAAAATCAGTCCAGAGGAATCATTTATCAATGATGCAAAAACAAAGCAAACATTTTTAAATACCGTATGTCCTAGATGTGACCACTAGGTGGCGCTATTCCTTTGGTTTTCAAGGCTGCATCTGTTTCTGCTTTTAGATGCGGATCTGATCAGCTGCGTGAAGAATGAGAACCTGAGCAGGGTGAGTCTGCAGACCTCAGATCGGATCTGAAACTGGGAGGAACCAGGAAATACTGAGACTTTTTCCTGCTGATCCTCCAGTTTTTTCCTCCACTGATGCAACCGGGACCTGAAGCTCCCACAAGGAGAAACACAAATGCTAATATTGTATTTCAAAGTTTATTGCTCAACACAGATTGGTAAAAACTGTTTGGTAAAATCTTGAACTTATTGTCAACATAAAAAAGTTTTCAAACTTTGTTTTCTATTTAGAAAGATTAAAAATTATAACATTTTCACCAATTTGATAGTTTTTCTCTGTAATTATATTTTTTTTCTTTTTTATGTGCTAAGATTTAGTGTAAAAAGAAAAAAACAAAACAGAAAGTATCAAATCTCTTTATTTATTTTTCTTTCTTTTTTTAGCTTTGGAGTGAAGAAAAAATGCATTTTTACTGGATTTTGTAGATCCAGAACTTAAAAAATATAAGTTTTTCTTTGCTTTGTGCAAATATCTAATTTTTAAAAAGTTAGAAAGGATCAAATTTAATTACAATCTCATAGTTATTATTTTTGTTTTTCGCATACATATTCAAAAAAATATTTTTTGTTTTGTTTTTTTGCTAATATTTACTGTAAATCAATAAAAAAAAGATACATTTTTGTAGTTTCTCTAGTATTTTATTGGTTTTCTTGGATTCAGAAATTAGATCAGAGTTTTAGGCTTCACCTGTCTGCAGTTTCAAAGCTAAGTATCGTCTAAACATTACACAAAATATTTTCCTTCCATTAAAATCTAACCTGAAGTTTTTTTTTCATTGCATAGCTTCAGCAGCTTTTTTTTGATGCAGATTTCTCTCTAAATGTCTGTTTCCTCCTGCAGCTGACGGAGCTCCACCAGCAGGGGGCGGAGCTGGCGCTGCAGGATGCAGACGGCTGCACGCTGCTGCATCACGCCGTCCAGACTGGCAGCAAAGACGTCGTCAAGTACCTCATTGAAAACGGTGAGATGCTCCAAAAGCTGCTGTTGAATCAGAAAACTGGCGGCCATGGTTGGGTTTAGCCCTGGGAGGTCACAATGGCAACAAAAGCAGGATATGTCTGCTGTATTTGCTTCACAGCTCCTATTTTGAGCTGTCAGGAAATCTTGAGTGGCAGCTTTAAATCTGCTGTATGGGAAGTTGCCCAGGGCGCTATTTAAAATGTAAAATTGATTATTTATTCCCCTTTTTTTTCCCTCCAACTTTCTGAGGACTTCATAGATGTGATGGGATAAAAATGAAGCAGGAATGTTTGATAATTTTCCAGTAAAACATCTGCAGGTTTTTCACCTCAGTCTGAATGACACAATAAAGACTTAGCTCTTTAATTCGCCTTGCCTTTATCAGTTTCAATTGATCGCTTCTCCTCCGTTTCATCAAACGCTCATCGTTATTTTTGAAGAGTTTGTAGCTTTAGTTTCTGAGTTTGTTTTCGTCTCCCATCAGTTCCCGCCTCCCACCTGGACCTCGCAGAAACGGAGACGTGAGTCTGAGTTTGTTCTGAAGTTTCGTATTTGTTCTGTCCAAACGAAGCCCAAACGTTCCAAGTGAATCTGGTTTTCCCGGTTTTGTTCCAGAGGGGAGACGGCGCTCCATAAAGCCGCCACTCTCTGCCAGAGGAGCATCTGCCACTTCCTGGTGGAGGCGGGGGCGTCGCTCATGAAGACGGATCTGCAGGTAAACTCACCTGGAGATTCACCACACGACTCTTTCACCAAAACATTTATTCTGCTTTGTAAAATGATTTTTTGATTGACAAAATAACAACCAATTAGAAAGAGAAGGAACAACAAAAATGATTAAATAAAAATAAACAAATCAAAAAGAAGTGCACATTAAAATTGGTACATTTACGACAAGGAAAAAAAAACATAACCAAGTGGTGTCACAGCAAAAATGGAAACGATACTTTATTTTTTGTTTAATCTTGGCAGTTATTTTCTAATTTTTATGATTAATATTTTCTCTAAAACTGCTTGTTTCAATTAATCTGGGATCACACAGATATTTTTAGTAGAAGAAGAAAAGACGGGGAAAAAACAGCAAACAAAAAAACATGGCATTAATTTTGTTAAATATTTTTCCTCTTTCCGAAGTTCTGGTTGATCCAATTTCTGGTTACTTTGTGCTAATTTAATGTAGTTGTTTTTTACTCGTCTCTGGCCAGATGATCTCCTCCTTTTTTGTCTTCTTTTGATAATTTTTCTGAAAATCTTTAAGTGTTTCAGCAACTGCTTCTTGCTCTATGAAGCCATTTTTCTTTTTTTGTTGCTGGCAGGACGGCGGCCACCAGCCCGATCCGTGCCTCCGCACTTTAAATGGGTCTCCAGCAGTATTTGACCCACTTCTATAAAGTGATTAATGTTGTGTGTCAGTGAGAAACGAAGCTCTGCAGGATTCCCCGGCCTTCATCCTCAACACACAAAAGCCTTGGCTCACCGTCGCCATGGTGAAGCCAGTGGTAACAGGAAACAGCCCATAATCTGAGCTTTTTCTCCTCCGCTACACAAATAAAGAGTTTATGTGTTATTTAGAGTCCTGAGTTGGTGCTGAGCGGGAATTCACCGCAGGAGTTCAGACGGGCTGAGAGGCTTTTCCTCCTCCATTTCTCACACCATCCATCCGTCCATCCGTCCCTCCATCCATCCCTCCATCCATCCCTCCATCCGTTTGTCCTCATGCTACTTTTTCAGATGAACAGATCAGATTTTGTCACGTTATCTTTAACTTTCGAGTTCAGAACGGTTCCCTGCTCCTGGGTGTTAGCTTACTGTTCCTGCACTTGAATAAATCAGATGAATGCAAGCTTTAAAGTTTCTTTCTTATTTTATCTTTAATCATTCACCTGCTGCTAACCTCCCTGTTAGCATAGCTTGTAGCTCAGCCAGTATCCCAACAGCTAGCCTTTTAGATAGCATGATCATTACATTATATTTTGTTAATCACTCAATCTTTTATTAAAGTATGTTGTTAACTGTTCAGCTAGCAATAGCAGTTAGCCTAACTACAGTTGCAGATATTAGCCTAGGCTAGCTATTGCCTAGCATTTTATCCACCTGGTTGCAGAACCTTGGAAAGCTTCACCATTCCCCTGCCAGTTAGCACAACCATTAGCATAGCAGTTAGCTTAGGGTTTTTTACAGCTATTAGCCAAGTCATTATTAAATTAGCCTGCCATTTTGTCTAACAGTCAGCTATAGTTAGCTCTTACCATAGCAGTGAGTCGAGCTGTTTGCTTAGCCATTAGCCTAGCCAATACCTAGTAAATCACCAGTTCCTGTCATAGTAGTTGGCTTAACTGCTAGGTTAGCCCAGGAAGTCCCAAACCAGCTCTGCTGTTTGGAGACGGATCTGTTTCATGGTTTTAAATTAGAAGAGCCTTTATTGTTACGGCCTAGAAATTAGGCTCCCAGAAAATCATTGTGGTGATCATGTAATATTTAAAAAGACCCTTAAAAAATTTGGTTATTTTTTGTTTTTAATACTTTCAAATTAAATCGTAATACTGCTGAGGTGACTGGTTTGTATTTTTGATTTTTTGTTTTTAAGAAATCTTGGGACATTTTTTCTTTTTGTTGTAAAACAGAAATATTTCCCCAAAAAATTAAGAGAGTAGTTACATTACAAGAATAGAGTTCAGAATATATCAAAAATAATAAGTATATGTAAGATCATAGAATTATAAGAATATAGTCATAATATTATGACTTTATTCTCAACTATTAATATTATCTCAACTTTTAACTTTATTCTTGTAATAGTATTACTCGTAATATTCTAACTTTATCCTCATATTATTTCACCTTTATTTTCATAATTTGACTATTCTAGTACCAGTTCATCTTCATAATTTAATTATTTTCCTTTTTTTAGGATGTTCCTAGTGTGATTTCTATTGTAATGTTTGTGCTGTAGAAGAATATTACAGTAGAAACTAATAGGAATCCTTAAACAAGCTAAAGTAAAGACACCCGTTGCTCTCGTCTTTCAGGGCGACACTCCCAAACATCGGGCCGCCAAGGCCGACGACCAGGAACTGGCCAACTACCTGGAGAACTGCCAACATTACCAGATGATCCAGAGAGAGGACCAGGAGACAGCAGTGTGACCCGGACGCCTCGTTCCTCCCGGCTCTGTTGGGGTTTTTTGGTTCTCGTTCTACACAGAGCTCCGTCTGTCGGGATGCAAACTGAACAGATCCTCTCTGCTGTCGGAGCCAGATGGATTCTTCTTCTCTTTTTGTTTTTTTTTTGTGCTTTAACTGATGAGAGACGAGGCGTCTTGATGAATCCGGTTGCCTGAAGGAAGCTCAGACCCGACACAAAATGCTTGTGGACACTAAAACAAACTTAAACTAGTTTTTATTTCCCAGCCACAAGGAAGCACAGAGAGCGACGCAGCTGCTGGCGACCAACAGCGACAGCATTCATGTTTCTGCAGCTTTCATGTCCAATAAAGCAAAACGTGTCTTCTGTTAAGCTTCTAGTGACCTTTTGGATGTTCACTGCAAACAAATAAATGTTTGGATATTTAATGTAGACAGCGATGAATTTAAATATTTATGATCAGATTGTAGAGATAAACTCACGTTGCCTGTAATCAGTTTTTAATGTTTTACTTGTCTGTTACAGTGGAGAGCTTTTGTTTTGATGTCTGTGGACTGTAAATACCCGCAAAGCCATTAGTTTGTTAAAAAGAAGCCGAATCCAGAGTCTGCAGCCGAATGATTACGAGCTTCTATGGCAGTCAGGAGACTCTTATCACTGTAAGATATTCATGTAAGGATTGTTTGGTTTCATCCATTTCTGAGTGACCTGCAATAAAGCATGTCGGCAACAAAATTATTTGGTTTTCATGAAGCAAAACTGATGAACGTTCCCCTATTTCAGCCTAAATGATAAATGCCCAAGATTAAGAAACAAACGTGTAAAAGTACACAATTCTGAGATTATTCAAATTGTGGGACTGAAGTCAAAATTTTGAGAAAAAATTATAAAAATTCTGAAATTAAAGTCAAATTTCTAATTCTGAGGGGGAAAAAATCTGAATTTTGAAGCAAGTCAAAATTTTGAGGAAAAGTTCTAAATTCTGAAACAATAAATTCTGAGAATAAAAAGAATTTTAATCTCAAATTAACTTTGACATTAAAATCAATAATTGTTTTAGTCGCCTTAATTCTCTTCTGTGCAAATAAGACAAAACTAACGTTCAAGTAACTTTTCAGCAACAAATAGCATTCAAAGATATTTGCAGTGGAAAAAACAAAACAACAAATTGGTAAGATTTGATGTTTTGCTGTGATGAAACTGGGATTACTGGGTGAAACATCCAGGGTTCTGCAGGGTGGGCGATGGGTCCAAACCTGTTTGGGACTTTAGAGGGAATGTTTCAGGAATTCATTTAGAGGAGGAGACATGAATAATGACAACTTTTCCTGCGGGGCTGAATGACCCGGCTGCCTCCTGCTGCGCTTTGCTCCCAGCTGCAGACGGGAACAAAGAGCCGAACGCATGACTGAGCCATCGGGATCCGGCCGGGTCGAGACAGACGCTCCGGAAAACCGGACAAGATCCTTCAGACACAACAGCAAACATTTGAGAAACAACAAAACTACACAAATGACTCACTTAGATCACTCTCAGCTTCAGGAAACCAGTTCCTGTAGGAAAAGCTGATGCTTTTTCACTAATTTCAAGAATATATCGATGAAAAAAAGTGTTTTCCTGATTCCAGACAGATAATCTCAGAAACAACTTCAGTGGCATTTCATAACACTTCCACCTCCATGCTTCACGCGCTGCAAACGTACACAATCTTACCAAGTGTTTTTGGTCTATAGTCTAGTGGTAATATCTTAATGCAATTAAAATAAGACAAAACTAACTTAGATGTAATTTCTCAACAAGATATACTCAACAATTCCTTTAAACTGAATTTTCCCATCTTATAGTGAAATAATCAATGGAACTAGATCTTCATCGGGACTGCTGGGGGTCTGGTAGAACAACCGGATCCCGGTTCCGGATCATTAGTGAACTTAGTCCCGCTTCAGTGTATCAAGCGGGCGTTCCCGTCAAACATAGATTATATCTGCGCTGCAGCGGGGTGACGTCACCGCGAGGTCGGCGCTCAGCGACGTGCACGTGCACGAAGTGCGCGCGCGCGCGTCCGAGGGGTTGTTGAGAAGCTGCGGCTGAATCGGAGACAGAAAGCAACAACTCCACAGCCCGACAGGCTTCTCCTCTGAGCTGAACACGTAAGTCTGTTTCCATCCGGATTCAGGTTTCATTCCGGATTCATCCCCGCGTTTATCACTCAGTTCATCACAGGGACATTTTTAATGAAATGTCTCTGATTACAGGGGGGAAAAGCTTCATTTTAGAGGAATTAATGAGTTTTTCTGCTTTAATCGCTGATTCTTTTGTTCACATGTGTCTCTGACTCCTGGTTTGGTTCCAGTTTGATGATGTTTATGGTGATTTATAGGGAAAAAAACAGAAAGAATGGCGATTAAATGGACATAAAGAAAAAAGTAATGATTATAAATGAGTAGGAATGCAAAGTGGGGATGGGTTTCTCTCTCCGGATGGAAATGTTTACGGTGCATGTTGACTCACTGAGCAGCTGCTCCTCTGGAAAAACTCTTGGAAAATGTTGGATTAGATCAGGAATATAAAACATTTCCTTCCTAAAGAGCCATTTTCCTCTCTGGACAGAAAATAAAACTCGTTTAGAGCATTCCTACTTTTGAAAAATAGTTTTTAAAGTTTTATTTTTAGGATGTAAAAAAAGATATATAAAAAAAATAAAATATATAAAAGTATGAATATTAAAACACATTCAGATAAAAGCATATTACTTTTAATGTAATTTTTGTGTGAAAATTCGGAACAAAATTGCAGGAAAAAAATATTGGTTAAAATTATTATCTGTATTTTAATAAAAACGTTAACTGGTTCTTTGTAATTTGAAGCCAAAGTTATTAAGATCTGATGCAGAACTTCATCGGCCTGCACTATCCTATGAGCAATCAGGAGATAAATGTTTTAAATTGACCTGGTTTGTTTTTCTTTTAATCAGATAAAGATCTAAATAAGGATGCAAGTCCAGTTAATTAATTAATCGGTTCATTTTAACGATTAGTTGATAAGCGGCCATTTTCCTAAAATTCTGATTACCGACTGTCTTTCCACCACATAGAGCCACAGATTTCATAATATGTTCAATTTAAAATACATAATTACATTTTAACATTATTTTGTGTCCACTGTATTAAATACTAACTGAAAAACTGAAAATCGCTGCATTATTAAAGTTAAACATGCCTAAAAAAATAACAAAACAGGAACCAAATAGGTTGCTACCTGGAAAAGTAAAAGAGGAAAAAATAAAATATGCTAAGCTCTTAATACGTCATGAGAGACATTCATGCTGTTTGGTTGCTCCAGAATTTGTTAATTAGCATATTGATTGTTTTTCTCCACTTCCTCGCCTTCGTAACGCATCAGTAACTTTTTGACGGCTGAATAAGCGACATTCACGTGAAACGTAAAGAGTTAAGGTGTTTATATTTCAAACAGAACCGCTTAAAGTCCATTTTCAGCTCTCATCGGACTCTGTTTGGACCGTTTCTGTTTCCCGTTCTGGCATAGAACCGCCGCCATCTTTGTTTCTGTATTAAAGTGTGTTCAGGGTGACCAGCGGCGCCCTCTGCTGGATGGCGGCCAAACTGCAACACTAACAAAAGGTCTAAGTGGACATTTTTGGTTACTCTTTTGAAATAAATTTTAATCTAATGAACCATTAATCAGTTAATCATAAACTGATTAATACTAACACAGTTTCCTTCCGGAAACTCAAGTTTCTGGCTGGAGAAGAAGAAGGAGATCGGGAATGATAAAGCTCCTGGAATCAGACGTGTTTCGAGAGCATCCTGGATCAGGATCTTCAGGGACGTGGGACTTTTGTGGCGTTTTTTATTCGGGGGCACTTTTTTTTTCTTCTCCAACATGAACCTCGAAATTCCAGAAGGAAGTTCTTTAAATGTTGTTCCTGCCCTCCAACCAAAGGGAGCATCCCGTTTCCTTTTCTTCATGTGAAGATCTGATTGTTTTCTCATGCTAATCGGCCCCCATTCAGGGACGAAGGCGAAGGCCCCAGGACCAGTGGGGGAGCTTGGGGTCCTCGGAGGTGGCGTGGAATCTGTGTTGAGCTTTAGAGAAGTGAAACCAGGCAAGAGGAGGCTTTGTTTTGCTCCAATGAATCAGTATTCTTTTGAGGGGGAATCTAAAGGGCTCTTTCAGCCTCCCCTGCCTCCTCCTCCTCCTCTTCTTCGTTGGTACGGAGCAGACTGGAGGCCTGCTGAGAGCCGGTTCTTTCTCGATGAAAGGCTGCGGGAGGAGAGAGGAGGCCAGCTGACATGTGAAAGAGAAGCAGAGCTCTCATGAAAGAGGAGTCTGTCATCTCCCAGCACAAAGAGCCTGCTCACATCTGAAGCATCCATCGTCCTGCAGAAACACGGATCAGGACGTGTGCTGGCGGCGCAACACGCTCTGCATACATTAGCCCACTTCCATAATCCTGCAGCCACCCCCGCGCTCAGATTATTGGGTTTAAACTGCCTCAGATTGGAGGAGGAGATTTGACCCGGTCCCAGTTTGGACCATCTGGTCCGGCCGGACGGAGCCCTCATCAGATTAGAGTGACAACAGGAGGCTTCAAGCTGAAAAATAAGATTATTTTGTTAGAAACCATCAGCAGGAGACTTCTGGGGGCAGATACCCAAAACCTGTACAGAGTAAGAGCAGCATTACTTCAACATACATCAGTCAAGTAAAAGTAAAATACAAAAAATTACTCAAATAAAAAACATTTGGCAAAAAGTTTGCTCAAGTACTGAGCAACAAATGATCAGTCATTTAATATTTAAAAATGACATTATCAGGACCAAAATATCAAATTAAATGGAAATTTGGTATGTTAAGGACCAAAATAACAATAATTTATATAAGTAACAAAAAAACATTTAATTCAAATCTGTTTATTAAAACAACAACAAACTTGTTTTTCACTCATTGGGAAGAAAACAGAAATTTTACTTCATAATAAAATTACTGAATCAAAAGTAAAAAGTACCAGAGTTAGGTACTAACATTTACTTGAGTAACTTTTTTGAAAAAGAAAAAAAAAGTATTTTTTGGAGTATTTTTAATGTACTGTACTTTTAATCTCGAAAGTTTTCTGTTTTTCAATAAATATGTTAAAATAATTGACTTAAAGCTGCAATATGTCACTTTTATAAAAACTATGTTTTTTCCATATTTGCTGAAACTGCTGTCACGGTTTGGTATGAGACAGATAATCATTGAAAAAATCAAACTCCTTCGTCTTCTCCCAGTGCAAACTACAAACAGCCAATTAGAGCCAGGAGGCGGGACTTAGTGCTGTCAATCAACCTCTATGTGCAGATCCTGCCATGAATGCTAATGGTGCCATGGCTACCATTGACTGCAGTTAACCAGTTATCCTGTAGCAGTCTTTTTTTTTCTATCGTTAGCTCATTTAGGAGCTAATTTACTAGGATGATTGACAGCGGTAAGACCCTCGTCTTGGCTCTGATTGGTTGTTTTTGGTCGGGAACGATGCATTTCTTCTGATAACTCAGGGAGGAGTTACTGAAACGAATCTCCTCACAGATTTTGTTTGGATTATTTTGTCTTTTTGCCACTTTAATGTGAATAATTTAGTTTTAGTTTATTGATTTGTTTCAAGCATTAATGGAAAGGAAAATAAATTCAAACAAGAACAAAACTGATCAGACTGTTTGAAAAGTAGAAAAATAAAT